TTGCTGCTGGTATATCTATACTTTACTATTTTCATTATTGTACGTTGTTCTTATAGGTATATTCACTATTGTACCAGAAACACAATATGTTTATATAAATGACACTGTGACATTTGAATGTGCTACTAATCTAACTGGAAATAATCTTTATTTTCTCTCTAGAGGAGTACAGCCATCTTCACAATCAATTGTAGCTTTACCTAATGGTGGGATGATGATATCATTTAATCTAACAGCAAATAATGAATCAAATGGAACTGATGTTACCTGCTATACACTGTTCAATGGACATTCTACTGAAACTGCTTATCTCTATGTTCAAGGTTAGTGAATACATATTTATGTTGGTCATATTTGTACATGCATATTCCCAGGTCCTCCTAATAGTGTCAGTAGTTTAACAGGATATCAGTTAGATTCTTGTTGTATGTTTATCAGTTGGTATCCTCCATTCACACTACCAGGACTAACAGTACAGTATATAATCAGTGTAGGAACTGATCAACAGTACCTTAATGACTCTATCACTAACTACACTTACTGTCCAATGAACCAAGCCAATAAACAATATCTGTTTAACATTACAACTACTAATAAAGCTGGGAATAGATCTACTAGTAACATAACTGTTGAATTCCAATCAAGTAGGCCTAATTTCATGAAACAAATTGGAGTAATTTTGAAATTCTTTTTTTTTAATCTGATAGATTCAAAAATTTCAATTGTTCATCAAGAATCTACATATCACATAAACAACAGCTGGAGTTTACAATTCCTTTTATTAGTAAGCATTATACACAGTTCCATACACACAATAACCATTATATTATTTATACAGGCTCATCAAATATGTACTGGAGTATCACTTGCTAATATTACAGTAACTGGTTGTACTGTTAGTAAATGCAGCACTTGTTATTCATCAACAAATGTATCCATTAGTAGTGGTTCTTATGATAACATTTCCATTATTGTTATTATGAATCTTCCATCAAGAGAGATACTGGATACTACTGTCATCTTATACTATCAAAATGGAGTAAAAATTCACAGCAACTCTGTCAAAATCAGTTAGTAGAATCACAAATTATTACCGTATAGCTTGAAATTTTTGTGGAATGTAAATTTCGTGGTTTTCGTGGTAACCATGAAAATTAAACCACGAATTGCCCCACCAGGAGCAAACCACGACAATATCGACCCACAAAAATATCAAGCTATACGGTATTATTTAATGTTGTTATCAGGTACTAATAAGCTTCGTCAGTTGAGGTTGATTAATACTACAATCAATGGAATATGTCTTCAGTTCCATTTTGTCAATGGCAGTACAACTAACAATGTTTATATTCACATTACAGATTATGCTGAGCCAATTTATCAACTGGTGTATTACAATATATCTCGTAATGATCAACTGAACTTTACTCAGTGCATCACTGACATACCAGCTGGTAATAACTTAACACTCTATGTGTGTGAATCACTGGAGGAGTGTACTACTACTCCTGCTGCTGTATTAACTGGTATCAATATTAGTGAATCTACTATAGTGTCTGTGAAAACAGAATTTACAGAAGTTTCATCAACAGTGCTTATAAATAATTGTATGCAATTGGAAAATCAAACTGAAGTAC